GAATAAATTGTATTTTGGCTGCTACAATACTTAGATTTGTATGTGTTTTGTCCATTTCAGAATCACGGTAAATATGATAATGACCACTCAAATATACAAGCACTTGTTTCTCTTCCTGCAGTTTAGAATAATGGTATGTCTTGCATTTGGTGCTATCAGTTTTAACACAGTATACTATATAAACAATGTGCTTTAGGTACTGGAGAGATAACCACATTTAAGAGTAATGGCTGCTCTTCCAAAGGACCTGGGTTCAAGTCCTAGCTCCCACATGGCAACTCACAATTGTGTGGAACTTCAGTTTCAGGGCATCTGATGCCCTCTTCTGGCGTCCTTAGATACAAGGCACACATGGTGCACAGACAACATGTAGTCAAAAAGTCCCACATACAATAATAATAATAAACATACAAATTTTATATATACTTTGAACACATACTTAAGACATTTTCCTTTTTAAAAAGTTATGTCTTTCATATCTGTGTGTGAAGGTCAGAGAATTTGCAAGAGTTCTTTCTTCCCATCATACAGACCCTGGAGTTGAACTCAGGTCACCAGGCTTGTTAGCAAGCCCATTTACCTGCCAAGCCATCTCCTAGTAAGACATTTTCTGTCAGAATTTCCCTTATGTGGTGTGTGTGTGTTGGGGGTTAGCCACTCATGTGAAAGTCAGGTGTCATTCCCTAGGAGCTATCCACATTGTTTTTGGATACCAGGTCTCCTCCAGACCCAGAGATCTCTGAGTAGCCTAGGCTGGCTGACCAGCAGGCCCCAGGAATCTGCCTCCCCAGTGTTGGGACCACAAGTCCACACCACCATGCCTGACTCAGAATTTTCTTACTTTGAGGTTTGGATAATGAAGGCAAAGTAAAGGCTTCATAAAGTCATAAGGAAATTATGTTTTCCAGTCCTGTGTAGCTATGTGACATGTCACCTCACTCTGGACATTTCTGAGGGTCCTTTGTGCAAGTCTCTCTTCCATTTTTACCTAGGTTAAGCCACATCCCAGCTTTTCAATACCCAGACATAGGAAGAAAATATGAGCTGAGATTAAGGAACAAAGAAAGAAAGGCAAGCCCCTATCCTGTGTAAGGTAAATCTGAATCTAGAGGTAACACTTAAACAGGAGGCATGATGGGATGGGAGCAGGAGAGATGTCACAAGGGATTAGTAACCCAAGACTCCAAAGAGGGGACAGAGCCTCCCAGTGACTACAAAAAACCCAGGTCGTTTGAGTATGTGTTTATGAGCCCCCACACTCCTCCTAAATGCAGGACTACAAACATAGTCAGACCATTCTTTGTATTTTGTCTCTTCCTTTTAAGCCTGAATGACTATCTCTGCCAACTTTTAAAAAAGATTTATTTAATTTTTTATTTATATATGGGAGTGTTTTTTTCTGCATGCATGTATGTGCAACATGTGTATGCCTGATGCCTGCAGAGGCCAGAAAAGGGCTTCAGATCTCCTGGGACTAGAGTTACAGATAGTTGTGAGCCACCGTGTGGATGCTGGGAATAAAATCCAAGTCATCTGTAAGAGCAACAGGTACTCTTAACTGCTGAGCCAGCTCTCCAGCCCAAAATAATGAAAATTGTTTCTACATAGAAGTTTCTCTGGTAATGTCACGTTTTTTGCTATATACTCAGAAGAGAAGGCCAAACGAATCATTTTATTCTTTTCCAACAGACATCTGATAGTAATCTCTTCAAAGGCATTACTTTCTCCTAATTAAAAAATTATTTACTGTATGTATTTGTATGTGAATATTTGTTGTGATTACAGGTGGTCAAGTATGTAGAGGCCAGAGATCAACCTCATGTCATTCCCCAGAAACTTTCCATCTTTTTTGAGACATGGTCTCTAACTAGCTTGTGGGTTCAGTGAGTCCCAGTATGCCTGAGGATCCTCTGTGACCAGCTTTTTACCAGAGAGCTAGGGATCAGACTCAGGTCTTCATGGTTGCACAGCAAGCAGCTAACTGACAACCATCTCTCCATACACAAGAGCATCACTTTCTGTTATTACAACCGGTTTTGCTTTTTGTTCAGTGAGTGGTACAAGATGGAATAAAATTGATAACACTGAAAAACCCATAACTCAATTAAGTGTTCAGCCCTGTTGTTGGAATTTTTAAACAGGTGTCAGTTACCAATTCAATCACTCATTCTAGTGTGGTTTCAATAGACCTGAACCCCACCTTTCTTCAGTTGGCAATTGTCACGAAGGGTTGCAACAATGGTGACCCAAGACCAGAAGCGGCAGAGACTGTGGTTTCAGCGGCTGTCTAGAACACAAAGGGCACCATGCTCTAAAAAGAGGATAAATCATTTCCTGTCCGTGCTAACTGATGGTGACAGAGTCCCATGGGCCAGAACTGAGCAGCTTTGAGTCTCTCTCCTTAGTTTAGTAACAAACCAGATAATATTTGCAGGCGGCAGATTGAGATAAGGCATTTCTCAAACTGCCAAGAAATAAAATTAGAACGGCTGACTTTTAGCTGAAGTGCATCTGTGTCAGTTTGTGTGTGACGTGTGAATATATAGTCATTTCTTCTTCCCATCAGCCATTGGGAAGGGTAGGGGTGCACATGCACCTGTGTGCACACAGGTGTACATCTGGCTTTAATATCAAAAAGGTTGCCCTCTTCTAGGCTTCTCAGGCAGTGCATGCACATGGCACACATATGCAGGCAAAACAGACAGAGAGAGAGTCAGAGAGAGAGAGAGAGAGAGAGAGAGAGAGAGAGAGAGAGAGAGAGAGAGAGAGAGAGAGAGAGAGCCTGAGTTCAGACCCTAACTCATCCAGCTCCATGACCTTAGACGAGTTTCCTTCCCTTTCTAAGGATGTGGACTTCCTTCTGTTCAATTTGCCAGGCCATGGTGTGGGTGGGATCTTTGGGCAAAGGTTAAGGACTGCTGGTGCCCAGTACAGACTGGATATTCCACTAGCACTGTCGGGCCTGGCCCTGTTCCTCCCTGTCCTTTCCCCTGGTGCTTTAACTAAATGTTCTACACATTTGCTGTGGCAGCTTCCAAACTTTCTCCAGCTGCTCTTTGTTCCCTGGAGCTTCCCAGCTGCTACATCTCATCTTTCCTTGGTCCTGAGCTCTGCAGCTTTCTATAGAAGTAACACCCTCCTCTTGGGTATGCCTCTGTTTAACTCAGAATCCTCCTGCCTCTCTTAGATTTCTTTGAAGCCTCTTAACTTTGCCCACTTACTCTCCCTCAAGGAGAGTACTAATTTGTAAATGCGTATCTTGGCCTGAGCTGCCATTGACAGAGGTGGTCAACCACCTGAAGCAAAGGGCATGCCATCAGGCCCTGTGTCTCCTCCCAACAGAGCCATGTAGCAAATATCCAGTATACTAAGACTTAATAGTAAAGTGATTGTAAAATATCAGTTGGGGGGGTACTGTTCATTCCTGCATAATTCAGGCTGACCTTGAACTTCTGAAATTCCCACTGTACCAAGTGCTGGAATTACAAGTGTGTTCCACTACATCCAATCCTCGTTTATAATTTTGTTGAAAGTAGAGCTCAGGGCTAGAGAGATGACTCGGTGGTTAAAAGTGCTTGCTGCTTCTGCAGAGGTTTCTGTTCACAGGTGACTTAACAACTACCTGTGACTCTAGTTCCAAGAGATCCAGTACACTCTTCTGACCTCTGTGGGCATCTGCCTGCAGGTGCAAAGATAAACAAAGTAGGTGCACAGATATACACAAAATGATAAATGAATAAAATTAACTTCTTTTCTGTAAGTAGGGCTGTAGCACTTGGGAAATGGAGGTTCAAGGTTATCCTGGGCTATATACATAATGAGTTCCTGGCCAGCCTGGGTTACATGAGACCTTGTCTCAAAAACCAAACAAAACCCAAGAAACACAAATCTTTTGTTTTTAATCTTCTTTTGTCCTTTACTGTTAGATTTTTGTCCTGTCTTTCTGGAATGGGCGGTGGGCTGAACAGAATAATGTTTTATTCCCTGTTGCTACCATCTGCTTATAACAACAGGCATACATCACTGACACTGCTGGAGGATGGGAACCCAGAACAGGATTTACGAGGTGGACATGCAGGTGCCAGCAAAAGCTGCATTCCTTCCAGGCGCTTTGGGGAGGTCTCGTTCCAGCCTGTGCCAACTCTGCCAGGCTATACTTGTCATCTGGCCAGGCCCCCACATCTCCCTGTCCTCCCAATCTCAGCTTCTGTGCCTGAGCTCTCTCCTGACTCCCTCTTGGAAGGACTCCTGTGCTTCTCTTGAGCATTCTAATGACATTAGTCCCACCTAGATGGTCCAGGAGTCTCTCACTGACTCACAGCTGCAATGTCACTTTCCTGTGTCAGTTCATGTATTCACAGGTCTCAAGATATCTTTGGGGGCTATTAGTCTCCACAGGTAGCAATGTGTGTGTTTAAAAAAAAAAAAAAAGCCTGTGAATGCATCTCATTGCTTTTTTGTCGTTGAACTTAGTATAGAAACACAGGAATCATCCAGTGGAGGAGTAAAAACTATTGGTTTCTCCAAAGAAGTAAAGGCAACACGTGTATGAATGCAGCCCTTAGGAAACTATGGATGAGGGAAGTGGCTTAGTGGATAAAGTGCCTTGTCATGTGAACATGAGGACTCAATTTTGATCCCCAGTACCCACATGTGTAGGGCCATGTGCTTGTAATCCTAGTGTTGGAAGGCCTAGGGCCTCGATGACCAGACAGCGTAGCAGATTTAGCTCCAGGCCAGTGAAAGACCCGGCCTCAAAAACTGAGCAGAGAACAAGTGAGGAAGACACATGCACACACACATTCACGTGAACATGTACATATTCCAGACATACAACATGTCCATGTTAGAAATTACACTGTTTTGTTTTGGGACAGGGTCTTGCTTTGTGATTTTCTGTGGTGATAATTTGCACAGAGCCTTCCTAAGAATCCTAACCAATGTTCTTCGTCTTTTTCTCTTTCCTCCAATGGCTGTTTCCTGACCTCCTGTCTACCCAGGATTTGCGCAAGCAGGTAGCACCACTGCTCAAGAGCTTCCAAGGGGAGGTAAGCAAAGCTTTATGCTCACTTTATACTCAAGCCACATTTTGTGTGTGTGTGGGGGGGGGGTTGTTTTGTTTTGTTTTCTGTTTGGTTTTTCTAGACTGGGTTTCTCTATGTAGCTTTAGAGCCTGTCCTTGAACTTGCTCTGTAGACCAGGCTGGCCTCGAACTCACAAAGATCCAACTGCCTCTGTCTCCCGAGTGCTGGGATCAAAGGTGTGTGCCACCACTGCCCGGCTTAAAGATTTATTTTTATGTGTGTTGGTGTTTTGCCTGCATGTATGTCTGTGTGAGGGTGTCGGTCCCCTGGAACTGCAGTTACAGACAGCTGTGAGCTGTGGTGCTGGGAATTGAACCTGGATTCTCTTGAAGAACAGCCAGTGCTCTTAACTGCTGAACCATCTCTCCAGCCTGTGTTACTTTTCTTACTTCTCTGACAAAATACCTGACAAAGACAACTTAAGGAAGGAATGTTGATTGTGGCTCACAGTTTGAGGGTACAGTCAGTAGTCCATCATGGTGGGAAGGGATGGTGACACCCTCACTCAGGAAGCAGACAAATGAATGCTGGCGCTCAGCTCACTTCTTTTTATTCAGGCCAGGTGAGAAGCTGTGGATGTGGGGTTCCCTACTTCCTGAAACACCCTTCCACCCTCCACTTTCCCTGATGTCTCAAGGGACACCTCACTCTTCCCCACAGACAGGCTGTTCAGATGAAAGTAGATCAGAAATACCTTTAGAAGAAGCCAATAATAACTGTTGTCTTTGATTGAAAAGTTTGAAATTTTATAATCATAACGATTACATGTAATTATTATGGCAAAGTCATCAAATTTAACTCATGTTGAAATTAGATTGATTGATTGCTGTGCTTAATTTTCTGTTTCACAAGCCCAGACAATTAATTGGAAGCGGGAGTTAACCTCATCGTTCAATCTAACTTGAATCATGTCTACTCCAACAGTAATTTAAACAATCCCTCACAGCCAGGCCTGGTAGAACACTTTTATAATCCACCCAGCCCTTGGGAGACTGAGACAGGAGGATTTTGTCTTAGATTTCAGCTCCATAGTGCATTCCAGTTCAGCCTATGCTATATATGACAAGACCTTGTCTAATACAAACAGACATATTCACACGGGGGACGTACAGAGGTCAGATCTCATGGCACTGGAGTGATACGTGGCTGTGAGCTACCATGTGGGTGCTGAGAATGGAACTCTGGTCCTCTGCAAAAGCCATAGATGTTCTTAACTAACCTGAGCCATCTCCACAGCTCTTTAATCTTTTTGATCTTCTGAAGCTGTGATGTATTTCTCTACTTTCATTCTTTACATTCTCTTAATCTTTTTTTTTTTTTTTTTTTTTTTTTTTTTTTAAGTAGTAAAATGGTTTATCAACTGTGTGCTTTTTTGGTGGGGGGATGGAGAGAGAGTTGACATAGGGTTTTTCTGTAGCTTTAGAGTCTGCTCTGGAACTCACTCTGTAATCCAGGCTGGCCACAAACTCATAGAAATCCATCCACCTGCCTCTGCCTCCCAAGTGCTGGGATTAAGGTCATGCACCACCAACACCCAGCATGTGTGTTGTTTTTTGAATTATAAATATTTACTATTACTATGTGAACTATACTGTTGTGCTTTTTAAAAGCTGCTGCTTAGCTCAAATTTTCCACACTTTAATTTATCTTTTAATAAGATCTTGAACTTTCATCTAAGATTTTTTTTTCCCCCAGGCTCCACACTAGTGCTGCCTAAGCCAGTAGCTCCCTGGCCCTACACCTTCCAGGCCACACCTTCATCAGAGGAGACAAGGAAGTACATTGCTTAGCCAAGGGATCATAATCCTTATAGAGAGCACCAAGGATAAGGCCACCAAAGTCCCACTTGGGGACCCCATGAACTTCTTGGGCTTACAAACTAAGTATAGGCAAGAAGCCTGGGTGACCCCAGAGCACCACAACACCAGAGTCTCACCCCAAATGGACAACGATGTCCACATAGCTATACAGGCGGAGTTCCAACTTCCACAGTCTTTGTACCCCCTCCCCTGTGACTCCTGAAAGCAAAGGCCATGTGCAATTGGAGCAGAATTGTATGCAAACATCTGGGAACAAGAGGAAGTGACTGAGGGTGCAGTTACTTCCAAAACTCCTTCTGTGATGGAATACCAATTTTTATGCTCAATCTTGAGGGTCACTTGCAAGTTGTTATGGCTGCTCTGATGAAAATAATAGCAGTGATGCCAGGAGCCAAGCACTATACAACACAGAGTGCACACAGTGCTCTCTAGCAGAGTTCTGTCAGCCATCGATGGGGTAAACAGAAAACTCCATTAGAAAATAGAAAATGAACAAGTCCTAACTGCTCTTCTGAGACCACTATAACCTTGAGGTCAGAATCAGACAAGAACAGAACAAGAAGGAAAATCAAAGTCACTCTTATTTAGTTGTAAATAGATAATTAAGGAGCTCCAAGAAAGGTAAGTGGAAGCCACTAACTAGACTTGGCATATCCCTAAAATACTGTTTTATTTAATAGCAGAAGATAGTGTTAATGTTACTTTATAACATGGCCAGATGAATAGAGAATTACCATTTCACTAACTATAAGAACATATTTTGATAAAAATCTACTCATGAGGGCTAGTTAAGAGCAGCTCTTGCAGAGGACCTGGGTTCAATACCCAGTGTCTACATGACAGCTTGTAATTAACTGTCCTCCAATTCCAGGGGATCCAGAATTCTTTTCTTCCTTCATAGGTATCAGCCATACATATGGTATACGGACATAGTCTCAAGTACAGACATACATGAATAAAATAAATATCTTTAATTTTTTATATGATTAAACAAAAATTAACAAGCTATAATTAGAAAGAACCCTTTTTAACCTTGTAAGAATTGCCTATGGACTACAACAACACTCATCAAACCTACTTGTGTTAATAACAATTTCTTTACAACCAAAAACTGAGAACATGGCTCAGTATAGAGTACTTGTCTAGAATCCCTCAGTGAGGGGCAGAGTGGGGCAGGGTTATGGCTCAGTTGTAAAGATCTTTCATGGGTGCATAACGCCCTAGATTTGATCCCCAGCACCGATAATAAGACAAATAGTAAATAATTAAAGTTAAACTTAACCCTGAAGACAAATTCAAAAAATTGAAAATAATAAATCAAAGGATGACAACCTAAGTTGTTGCATAGTTGGAGTCCATGGCCAAAAGAGTGCTGCAGCACACAGTGACAGCCCTTACAACACTGTACTTGCAAGAGACAGCGTGTGAATTTGTTTATGAGTTTGGTGCAGCTGTGTCTGTCTTTTTGTATATTTGCAATATTTGCTTCAGAACAAAATAATCATTTCTAATTACATAGCAAAAGCTGCTTGGCTTTTGTTTGCTTGATGTGTTTGTGATAGGGTCTTATGTAGCCCAGGTTGGTTTACTCACCATATAACCAAGGAAGACCTTGAATTCCTGGCCCCCCTTTCCTCCACTTTCCAAGTGTTGGATGGGACTCTTAAACGCTAGGCAAGTGCTCTCTTCACTGAGCTACACCCCAGGCCCCATCATCAGTTTTAATTTGCCCAGAAAAGTCAGGCGCTCAGGTAAAGCTATAGACTTAGACATGCTGACAAGGAAGGCAAATGGTTATCACATTCTTAAGTGTCCACCACTGACCTCATGTGGGGTCAGGTAGGGAAGAAGTGTCCTGTCTGTTGCAAGGTTCATGGGTGACTCCCTGTAACAAAAGACAGATGGGTAAGAGAAGGGGTACAACACTTAGTGAAAGCTTACCCTCAGAAGCAAAGACCGGAGCTGACACAGGAGGGTGCAGAGTTCAAGGCCAGCCTGTTGGAGCAGGGTGAATGGAGAGCCAGCCTCCACTACATAGTAAGTTTCAAAAAAGCTGCATACATTTATTATATGCAGTGTTTTTCATACATATTTATATATTATGTATGTTAAATATTATGTTATTATAAAGATGTTGTTTTATACAGGATCACATGTGGCCCATGCTAACTGGCTACATAGCCTGCAATTCTAGCACTTGGGAGGTAGAAACGAGGATCAGAAGTTCAAGGCCATCCTTGGGTACATAGCAAATTTACATTCAGATTGGGCACATGGGACCCTGTCATAAAACTAATTTTTTAAAGGATCAGAGACATCATAGGGCCTGTAGAGAGAAAGTTCCAGGGACCTTGAGGACAAGACACAGGAACACCTTCTCCTATTGTGGCCTTCTGCCCTGGGCCCTTCTTCAGTAGTGGAAGGGACCACTGTGGTTAAGGTGGCAATGGGAATGGTGCATTTTAACGATCTTAGAGCAAAACTCCAAGGCCCGACCAGCACAGGGTCCTCCTGGAGGTTGGCCGGGTGATGGCTCAATTAGAGGCGCGCGGGACTGTGTTGAGGCAAGTAGGCCAGCTCTGTAATTGAAAGCACATTTTCCCCTCCGAAGCTGCAGCTGGTTTAGCTCTGCTCATGCAGAAAAGGATATAACCTTGCATAACATAGGAAATGAACGGTTGAGAGAGAAGCCAAATTCAATTTTAGTCAGATATGTTGAGGCCGAGCCCATGATCTATGGGAGCCGGGGCCTGAGCAGCTCGCATGTGGAAAGGCGCGCACTCAGCACTCTATTAATCACGGCCGCCCGCCTGGCGCTGCCGCCCCTGTGTACAGGGGGCCACTGCGCCCGCGCTCCTCCTCAGTGCTGGAGAGCAGCCAAGCACTCCAGAAGTTAACCTCTTAAAGACCCGGAGCTGCTTTCTGTTGAATAAATGTAATTTTGTGGTCAGAAATAAATGCTTGTGATGTAGCAGGGAGCTTTGAAAACAACAGCGAGCCAAAGCTATTACAAATTGCTCCGTGTTGGGGAAGTCAACAGCACACATCAAAATTCCGCGTGTAAGGCAAATTGATTTCGGCCCAGAGCTCTGCAGCTATTCAATAAAAGTCCTATTAAACCATTGTGTGTAATGAACAATCCAG